TAACCCTGCATGGTGTAAATGTTTGAAAATGATTAACAATTGAAAACATTAGAAATTTAGAAAAGTAATCAAATGTAATCAGTTACATTACTGTAATAAAGTAATTGAAAAGTTACACTACTTATTACATTTTAAGTAGGGTAACTTGTAATCTGTAACCTATTACATTTTCAAAGTAACCTTCCCAACACTGCTCATAAGCAAGTAAAGTTTAATGCTAACATGACATAATGAGCATAAAAATACAGAGCAAACACAAATATTGGGTAACTCATTTTAATTACTTAAAAAAAAATGTAATACTACTACCAATACTACTCCGTATTGGATGAAATAAAAGTTTATTTCTAACCAACATTTCTCTCACATCATGTGATGCTGCCTTAAATTTCGCCCATTAGTTAATTCAGTTTTTAGGATTAATTAAGCTTTTACAACAGTTGTCATATCAGGATTGAAGCCTTCAGATTCTACCTTTGGAAACCTTTGTGTTAGAATATACAGTAAAATCTGTTTATTATTTGGTTATTTTAGACATAATCCACTTTAATTGTCCAGGTAGGTAATTGTACTAATCACAATACCTTAAAAAGTCAAGCAATACATTACATCCATACAATAACCAACACACTCTCATGGCAATTCGTACGTTTTGGTGAATTTGTGGCAAATTCATATGAAACCTCTTTTGTATGTTTTTGTACTGCTTATGCTCCATTGACGGTCAGGTTTAGGGATGGGCTTAGGGGTGGACCTTCATGCTTACATTTCCGTGCTTACAAATTGCAGTGTACAAATTCATGTGAAATCAGCACCTCATAATACATTTTATCATGAAAGATTGGAGTAAAAGAAATAATGCTAACACTTTAAACTTTATTTAACTATATTAGGTATAGGAATAGTTCAGACAGAAATGAAAATTTCCTGAAAATGTACAGGATGTCCAAAAGTTTTTTGTTGTTGTTTTTTCCCCCCATCAGAACAGATTTGGAGAAATTTAGCATTACATCACTTGCTCACCAATAGATCCTCTGCAGTGAATGGGTGCCGTCAGAATGAGAGTCCAAACAGCTGATAAAAACATGTTTGTAAGAAACAAATCCATCATAGTCCATAATCTATAATGACATCCCCTGTTGTCCTCACTGACATATTTCTTTAAAACTGTTTGTACTGTTTTCGCTTGTAAATGGTGCTTGATTTGTGCATATTTCTCTCCTGATTCAGGTGAGACAAATTTTCACCGAACAAAGCAACATTATTTCGCCAGAAGCGATGGTGGTTTAAAGTTAAAACATGGTGAATTTATTACAAGCATGCAGCTTTTTGCTGTACAAGACCTTTACAAGAAGATTACTTATAGATTATTGTGATGTTTATATCAGCTGTTTGGACTCTCATTCTGACGGCACCCATTCACTACAGAGGATCCACTGGTAAGCAAATGCTAAATTTGCTAAACGATAATAATAATGATGATGATAATTATGATGCTACATTTCTCCAAATCTATTCTGATAAAGAAACAAACTCATCTACATCTTGGATAGCCTGAGGGTGAGTACATTTTCAACAAATTTTTGGGTGAACTATTCCTTTAACATTAACTAACAATGAAAAATACTTCTTAATCAATTCCAATATTTACTAATACATTATTAAAATTAAAAGTATGTGTTATTTAATGTACGCGAGTTAACATGAATTAACAATGTTGTATTTTTATTAATGGATGTTAAAAAAGATGAATAAATACTGTAACAAATGTATTGCTCGTTTTTAGGTAATGTTTGCAACTAATGTTAATTAATGGGACTTTATTGTAAAGTGCTCCTTGAAATAATTTGTGAAAACATGGGATATCCTTATATTCCAGATGAAAAGCCTCTGCTAAATGGTGACTCGTATTCGCACACACGCTTTATCTAAAAAGAGCGTTGCGCTCTGGTAATTCTTTGATAGTCTGGTGAGTCACAAGAAGCCCACACAGCGTATCCCCTCCTCTGGTCACAGCTCTAAAGGTGAGTCTGTATTCCTGGATCAATGAGTCAGCCGTGCCCACACTCACATACATGAATTACGTGGCCTCTGGATCGCCTATATTTTGTAAAAGCATATAATTTGAAGAGAAACTTCACTGGAGCCTATTCAACATCGACATTTAACCTGGTCTGAGAATGTTCTTGATTCAAGACTCCTATTGCGTGAACTTTCCTTTCATTCCTGTAGTGTTGGTCAATTCTGTTTATCTCCGTCTGGACAGAAACTCTGTTTTGACTGGACAGTGAATCACCTTCCTTTTTCCATGATGAAAGAACACTTCTTGATCTTTCTCTGCTCATGTTGACAGCACTTGTGGCATTTCAGAATATGTCAGTGCTGACATTATGTGAGAGTCTATGCTTTGATTTCCACCAAAAACCATAATCAAGGAGTCGTTCAGTTTTTCACCTTAACTGCATGCATTCAGCAAGGCTGTCAGCCTT